TGCATCATTTCTTCAAAAAATTCTAACTGTTCCTTTGGGCATAATGTTTTTATTTTATTTGAGGTTCTGACTTTAAGCATTTTTGAGTTATTCTCTTCTGGTCTGTTCCTTGGTCATCCCTGGCATTATAAAAACCTTTTTTTTGTGGGGCAGCTAGGTGGCCCAGTGGATAGAGCACAAGCCCTGAAGTCAGGAGGACCTGAGTTCAAATCTGGCCTCAGACCAAACACTTGACACTTACTAGCTATGTGACCCTGGACAAGTCACTTAACCCCAGTTACCTTAAAAAAAAAAATCCTCTTTTGTTTGCTTATTCATTTTTGTTCCTGAGGCCTCAGGAGTTGAGTTCTGGGTCTCCCCTACTCTTAGGATCAAATCAAACTGAGGAACTTTTTTTATCCAGGTGGTCATTCTCAAGGCCTATTATTTTGCAACAGACACCAACATCTTTTCCTGGGATCAATCTTAGCTGAAACCCTTTCCTGTGGACAAGGATTGTCAGTTAAATCTTAGGACGCTCTCAATTGGTACGAGAGACCTAGAGACTTCTCAGTTTTACTTAAGTCAGTTGGGAGATTTCTTCTGCTGAGACTGTTGAGGATTTAAAAACCAAATGAAAAAACTGCCAGCCTGAGTCGAGGGCTTCTTTGCTTTATACTGAGGTACTTCCTTAGTGAAGGGTTTTTGTTGTTGTTGTTGTTGTTTTTACCTTAGAAGTAAGTCAAGCTTCACCTCAGTCCCTCAGGGTCTCAACTATTCTTGAAGCCTTTAATCTTTCATTTTTCCTTTCAACTTTTCTTCCAGCTGAAAGCCTAATCTTTTACTTTCATCCCTAGAGGGATCTGAATCTTATTTACTGCTAGTCTGAGGGGTGGATTGTTTATTAATCAGTTTGTTTACTGGTGGGCTAGAACTGAGGTGTGGGGCAGCTAGGATAGAGTGCTGGGCCTGGAGTCAGGAGGACCTGAGCTGAAATCTGGCTTCAGACACTTAGTAGCCGTGTGACCCTGTGCAAGTCACTTCACTCTGTTTGCCTCAGTTTCTCCATCTGTAAAATGAGCTGGAGAAGAAAATGGCAAACCACTCTAGTATCTTTACCAAGAAAAGGGTCATGAAGAGTCGGACATGACTGAAATGGCCGGACAGCAGCAAGCTAAGCTGTCCTCTTTCCTTCTGTTCAATCATCTTGATCAGGAACCTTTGATCTTTTCACAGTTGTCCATTTCTAGTTGTGTCAATCTTGAGTTCTGATCATCTCTCTGAGAATGGGCTCAGATGTTGTCATACCTGGCAGACTGTTCCTCTTCCTTCCCTTAATTGTTGCACAGAGGTGGGCTGATTCTTTCAAGCTTGGAATGAATTAAAAATGCCTCAACATTTTCCAGCTTTATTATATTTTTATTCCTGTCACACACTCTACAACATACTGTCCGTCCCCTTTTCACACACAGCACTCCCCATCTTCCATCTCCCTGTCCTTGCCCAGACCTCTCCCCTCTCCTTCCCTCCCCTCCTTCCTCTTCTCCCCTCTCCTCATGAATGTAAATAGTAATTGTTGGGGCAGCTAGGTGGCGCAGTGGATAGCGCTCTGGCCTTGGAGTCAGGAGGACCTGAGTTCAAATCCAGTCTCAAACACTTGACATTTGTTAGCTGTGTGACCCTGGGTAAGTCTCTTGACCCTAATTGCCTTGCCAAAAAAAAAAAAAATAGTAATTGTTTCTCTTTTGGCCAGAAACCCAGAGGATCTTCCCCTCCTAGTTTGATTTTTCTTTAAAGGGGCCATCCCTTGGCTCACTTCTTAAACAGCGTTAATCACAGAATGGGCATTGCCTCAGTCAGAGTGAGAACTGGAAAGACCTCAGTTTAAAAAGGCCAATTTCAGGAGTGGCTAGGTGGCAAAGTGGATAGAGCACCAGCCCTGGAGTCAGGAGGACCTGAGTTCAAATCTGCTCTCAGAGGCTTGACACTTCCTAGCTGTGTGACCCTGGGCAAGTCACCTAACCCCAATTGCCTCACAAAAAAAAAAAGGCCACCTTCTCCCACTGCATCCTGGCCCATCTCCAGTCTTCCTATATATATCTGACCACTGGACCTAGATGACTCTGAAGGAGAAAGTGAGGCTGGCAACTTTGCATAGCCCTACCTCATTTAAATCCAGTTCATTCGCAAGGCATAGCATCACCTCCTTAATGTCCTGGTCTTCTTCAAGAATGAAGGACAAACCACAACCATAACCATGTTCTTGCCCAGGCTATCCCCCATGCCTGGAGTGCACTCCCCATCTTCCAACTCCAGGTCCTTGCCCAGGCAATCCCCCATGCCTGGGGTGCGCTCCCCATCTTCCAACTCCAGGTCCTTGCCCAGGCTATCCCCCATGCCTGGAGTGCCCTCCCTCCTCATCTCTACCTCTTAGAATCAATCCCAAGTTTCCTTCAAAGCTCAGCCCAGATGCCTCCTTCTACATGAAGTTTTTCCTGATGAATTAATGTGGACTAGAGGTTTGAGAACTGGCTGTTCTGACAGTAATTACAGGGATAAGCATTCCCCTCCAGAGAGTTTCTTCAGGACTATCATGATCTATGAGATGGAAAGTGGAATTGAGTCACACCCTTTTCTTAAAGACAAACACATTTGAGATGTGCCGAGAGGAAGTGGTGGAAACCTCAATAGCTCCCCAGCCCCGTCCCGGGCTTAAAGTGAACAATAAAGAATTGGCAGCAGCAGAGAGGCTGAGGTAAGGTGGAGAAAGGAGAGAATGAGGAGGTTGATAGGACACAACAGGCATTTTAGAGCAGAAGACTCAGGCTGAAGCCACAGGTTATACCTACCTATTCAAGGATTGAGGCAAGTTCCAGAAAAGGTCTGCTCTTTCACCTACTTTTCCTATGAATGCCTGACTATAATAGGTACTCCAACGTTCTCTCATTTCTTTACTCCAACATTTCCAGTAACCTGAATTTTTGTCTCATCTATAAAGAGGTCTGGGGCTAGCTTGAGATAAATATAATTTTAAATTAGAGAAAAGCATCAAAATTCTACCTAAATATTAGGAATTTCTCAGAACTAGGGGCTCTGAGCTATTGTAATTGTGCTCCTAACTTTTTATTTAACATATAAACTTAATTAAGTAACAGAGAAGGGGCCCATGTGGTCCTGAGGGGCCATTGTATTGTCCCTATTCTTAAAAATGAGCCCGTTATTATGACTCTATTTGGCTGATTGAAGCTCCTGAAACAAAAGGGAGGTAATGAAGAGAAGGTGGTGGTAAGGTGGTAAGTATGGCCATTAGGCAGACAATTGCATTGCCCACGTCAGCATCCTACAACTGCTAATTTTACAAATAATGAAGTGCTATGTGCCCTGTGCTTACTGATTATACAAATACAAAAATGAGACAGCCCTTGCCTTCAAGGAACTTCACAACTGCTAGTGAATCTCCTCTCCCCTACTGCCTTGGTTTTTTGGTCCAGACCTGATTTCATTTCATTCCACACTGCTAAGGAAACTCCTTGCAGCAATGCCAATGAGCAACTATCCTGCAACTTAGTCTTAAAGAGTTATATAGGTGATTGAAAGGTTAAAGGACTTACTCAGGGTCACACAGGCAGGAGGAATCAGAGCCAACACTTGAACTTAGGTGTTTCAGACTTAGCAGTCAAACCTTTAGCCATGTGATCTCTCTTATTTTGTATGGGTATATTCTGTACATAAGGGCAGCTAGGTGATGCAGTAGGTAGAGCACTGGACCTGAGTTCAAATTCCATCTCAGAATCTAGCTGTGTGACCCTGGGCAAGTTACTTAACCCTATTTACCTCAGTTTCCCTATCTGTAAAATGAGTTGGAGAAGGAAATGGTTAAACCACTCCAGGATCTTCGCCCAGAAAACCCCAAATGGGGGAAGGAAGAGTCAGATACGAATGAACAACAATTCTGTATATACTTATACATGTGCATGTCTCCCCCAATAGAATACAAACTCCTAGAGGTTAGGACTTGGGTAACTTGCGTTACCCAACGGAGAGCACAGTGCCTGGCTTATGGTAGGCTTAAAAAAAATTACAAAGAATTTTTTTCAGATCCACGTAATAGGTTCTTAATAAATGTTTGATTGATTTGTTCTATTTTTTCCCCAGCAATCGAAAGATCCAAAGTTCATAGCTGATATTGGCTTCCTTTCTAGTAGTTGCAGTGGAGCGTTGCTTTTGAGGACCAAGGGTCGGCGTTCCAATCCTGCCGCTTCTCTGCTTCTTTTGTGACCTTGGGCAAGTCCCTTAGATTCTTTTAGACTAAGTTTCCTCATCTGTAAAATGAGATATTTGTACCGAATTTCCTCTAAGGTGCTTTCCCACTCTAAATGTATGTTTTGATAAGGCCTCGTGAACAAAGGTTCCTTCCAGTTCTAAAACCTTTAACCATTGAGAGGAAAGAAGGAGGGGCGCCTTCTTGGGCACCTGAGAACGGATGGGGAAGATGGACTTGAAAAAGGGGCGTGGCGGGAATCGACTGCACCTTTTCCCGTTACCTATTGAATGAAGAGGGCAGAGAGGGTTGTAGAGGGGCGGGGTCGGGGTGGGGGGGGGGGGGGGGGGGGCCGCAGCGCCCTTCCCGCTACCAGCAGCGGGGGGGGGGGGGGGGGGGGGGGGGGGGGAGCCACGGCGGCGCGCCCGGGGCGGGGCAAGGGGGGGGGGGGGGGGCGGGGCCGGCGCGCCGCGGTGCGTCACTGAGGCGCGACGGGGCTGAGGTGGAGCCGCTGCCGCCGCCGGAGCCTTCAGTCCCGGAGCTGCCGCTTGCGGGTTTGGCGGGGCTGGTGCGGGCGGCGGGACGGTCCCTGAGCGCCGTCGCCCCCGTGGGGACCGCGATGCCGTGAAGCCGAAGTGAGTGCGGGGCCCCGGGGCCGAGCGGCAGGACGGGCGGGCACGTCCTTCCCCGGGGCCGGGGGCCCGAGGCCCAGGCTGACGCTGAGGGTCCGAGCCGGGTGCTTTGGGTCGTCGTTGTTTACGGTCCTCATCGTTACGGCTTTCCCCAAACCAAAACCCGTTCGGGGAGCCCGGGCGGCCGCCCCTTTCGTTGTACTGAGTCCTTCTTAGTAAGACCCTCCCCCGCCAAATTAAGGTGAGCCTAGTCCTTCCCTCGCCCCTCCCCCTCTTTGGTGATCCGCCTCCCCGCTCGGTAAGTAGAAGAGGAGTCCGGAGGCATCAGTTTCCGGCCCGTTGTCATAGGGCGGGGTGAAGAGCCCGAGATTCCGCCTCGATTAAGATTGTTGACACTTGGGGAGTGAGAGGAACGGCCTAGGGGAGGCCAGGACCCCAGCTTCTATTGCCCCCCGCCCCGCCCGGGACAGCCAGTCCCCTCCCCCACCCCGCCCCTCTCTGCCAATATGGCCCAGAGACCCCGAAGGGGCCTAGGGTCACAGACTTCCAGTTGGAAGGGACCTTAAGGGCTTTCTAGAACGGCCTTTCGTTCCCAAATTTTACAGATGAGAACACTGAGTCTCAGGAAGTGGCTTGGGATATGGTCACACAACTAGTAATTAAGTCAGAATTTGAACTCGGGTCTCCCTGATTCCAAGTCCTACACTTTAACCATTTACAACGTGCTGAGCCCTTTCATTTCAACAAAGATTTGGTCCCCTCCCCCCATAAAATTAATCATCAGAGGAATCCTCCTCCAAGCGAAAAGATGGCCTATAAAATAACCATATCGCATATACAGTCAGTTATCTCATGTCACAGAAGATGGAGTTCTTGTTACTGATGACATTTGTACTTTTTTTTTTAAAGTCATTTATCCTTTGGTTACAAACCTGGAGGAGACAAATATACTCCCCTTGTTTTCCCCTCCTTTCACTGGCAGCTTTATTTCTTCCACTCTTCTCTCTTGTTCTTCAGAATGTCGTTTTACTAGTTAGTCTCACTGCTGTCCAAAAAAGAGGGACTGTTACCCCACCATCCTAAAAAGAGATGCTTTCAGCGTATGGAGCTTGAAGTGACATTGATTCTTTTGTTTCCCTCAGATAAGTCACAGAAGAATTTCTTTTCTAAAGATGCTGACTCTTAATTTCAGAGTTGTTCTGAGTGACTTTCTCCTATTGCATTTTGGTTTTTACATCCTTTCCTTCCAGATGAATGTATATTTACAAAATATATTCTTTACCGTTTGATGTCCCGTATTTTAGGTGTTATCATGCTTTGTAGCATGTGAACAGTAATTACCCCACAAAATGAAGCATGTGTTCATGGGCTAGATAATATTATAGCAGAGCATCCAGCCTACTTTGTGTAAGTTTTATAAAGTACTTTCTTCACAATAGTCTTCTGAGGTATGTAATATGATTATTATTCCCTTTTTACAGAGGAAATAAAAAGCTCAGAGGGGTAGCATCTACCCATAGTGATATAGTTAGGAAGTAAGGGAACCATGGATAGCCCACTGGCTTTGGGATCAGTAATATCTGAGAATCTGACCTCAGACACCTAACTTGCTTTGATACCCCGGCAAGTCTTGTAATACAATTCAGCAAACACTTATCAGTTGTTGTATACTAGGCACTCTACTATATGCTAGGCGTCAGGTTCCTCATCTGCAAAATGGGGCTGATAATCGTAACTACTTCACAGGGATGTTGTGATGATCTACTGAGATACTATTTATAAAGCATTTTGCCAAAGTGCCATATACATGTGACCTCTAGTAGTATATACTATATTTGGATTTCAGCAAATCTTTTGACAGAATTTCTTCTGCTTTCCTTCTGAACAAAGTTAATAAGAGCTATGTTCATGATGGGAGGTAGTGCATTTAAGTGCATTTGGAAACTGGTTGAATGACTAGACCTCACATGTAGTGATAAATGGATTGGTGCCAGTGTGGAGATCTCCAGTGAGTACAGTTTGAAAGGCCTCTCCCTTTGACCCTATCCTGTTGAACATTTTTCTCAGTGCCTTAGAGCAGGGGTTAGAAAGCATGCTAATTAGACCGGTGGAAGACACACAACTGAGAAAGATAGGGTTCATGAGGAACTGTCAGCTCAATATCAGTCAACTATGTGACACTGATCCAAGTAAAGAGCAGCTCACGCAATTTTAGGCCACATTGGTTAGATAACACCAACTACATACCTGGGGGGAAGGATAGTGCTATTGTCTTCAGCCCTGGTCAGACTGGGCACAACTTCTGTTCTCTAGGAAGAACATGGATTGAGATCACCCAAAGGAGGGTGAGGAATTGGAGGGGTGCCATGAAAGAAGAAGTTAGAAGAAAATGGAATGTTTCACATAGATAACAATAGGTATTGGAGAAAGATAGTTGTCTTTAGGTATTTGAAGGGCTGTCTTGTTGAGGGAGGGTTCCATTGTTTTTCTTGGCCTCAGAGGACACAACTAAGGACAGAAGTTAGAGAGGCAAATTTGAGCTTCGTGTAAGGGAAAACTTGCTAACAGGGAGAGCTCTCTAGAAGCAGAATGTACTGCCTCAAGAGGTAATAGGATTCTCATTCACTGGAGGTCTGAGTAAAAACTTGAATGGCCACTTCATTTGGTGATGCAGGATAACAGGAGGAGCTGAAAGGGACTTCAGGGGCCACCTTATCCAGTCGTCTCCTTTTACAGATCAGGAAACTGAGGCCCTGGAAGATCAAGTGACTTGCCCTAAGTCGTATAGATAGTAAGCGTCGGAGATGAAATTGGAATCCAGGTCCTCTACTCTTTCCACCCGGATATTGGTTGGTCTAGGTGGCCTTTGGAGTCCAACCCAACTGAGATTCCATAATTCTGATCATCTTAGGCCTGTGATTTTTGTCTTGTTGCAAAGAGCCATCATGGCTTCAAAACCAGGTCATGCCAACCTTATCTCATTTTGTTTATTGACAAGGTTAATAAATATATATAACAATAGTATTTTTACCTTAGGGTGATATTGTGCATATGTTAGTATCTAGACCACAGCAAAACATTCGCTAAAGTGTCTTATGCCTCCTTGTGAACAAGATGGAGAGATGTGAGCAGGGCAAGTGAGTGGATTCAGAAAGGGTTTAATGAGAGGATGCAGAGTGGTCTCTATGGTTTGATGTTATCTTAGAGGAAAGTCATTAGTAGTAGTCCCCAGGGATCTGTCTTTGGCCCCATATTGTTTGACATTTTTATTAGTAACTTGGATGAAGGTGTAGATGACATGCTTAGCAAATTTACAGATGACACAGCTAAGGAGAGAGCAAACATGGATGGCAGAGTCGGGAGCCAAAAAAGAACTTGATAGTCTGGAACAACAGTCTGATTCTAGTATGATGACATTTAATAGCTGTATAAAGGTCCATTACACAGATGGAGAAGGTGTGGTTAGAAAGGAATGAAAATGGATAAATATGATTACATTGAGTTGGGATGTACATGTAAGAAATACCAAGATCTGTGAGGTTAGGGCACTGTAAGCTTAATCTAGATCAATAGTATTATAGTGGCCAAAAAAATGCATGCATATACTAGAATACAGAGAGGGGGATTGGTTCCAGAACAAGAGCGTCCATGGGCTTACTGTAGTCTGGCTTGGTCATTGGTCACATTGGGAATATTATATTTAGTCCTCAGCGCTACATTTTAGAAAGGACATTGGTATCGTTCAGAGGAGGGTTACCAGGCCTGGATGGGGACTGGAACTCACAGCATATGAGGAATAGTTGAAGGACAAGAGGGTGCTTAGCCTAGAGAAGAGAAGACTTATAAGGAAATATGCCTTTGTGCAAGGTTTCCCCCATGCCCCCATGGTTTGTTTTCTCTTCACTTTTGCCTCTTGGAATTCCTAATTTACTTCAAAGCTCAGTTCACTGTCTACGTGAAACATTTCCTGATTTCCCAGCTATTTGTGCTACATCTCCCCAGATTACTTTGTATGTTGCACGTACTTAAATAGGCACACGTTGCCTCCTCTCCTCCTTGAGGGCAGAGCCCCTACCTTTCATTTTTGTCTTTCTCTCCCCAGCCCCTAGCACAGGCTCTTAATAAATGATTGCTGTTGAATGATTGATTGCTAGACATGGTGGCTGATGTGTCAGAAAGTGGACTTGTTGAACTAAGAGCAGGGAGTGGATGTTGCTGAGAGGCAGATTTCAGCGGTATGTGGGAAGAGTCATAATTAGAGCTGTCCGAAAATGTACTGAGTTGCCTCCAAGATACTGAGTTTCCTCTCACTTGTAGTCATAAGATCCTAGAACTGGAAAGAATCTGAGAGATTATCAGGTTCAGTTCCCTCATTTTACAAATGGGGCAACTGAAGGACAGAGAGGTAAAGTGGCCTGTCCAGTGTTACTTAGAGTCACAGAGGTCTCAGACCCATGAGACTTGTGTGACTCTGGACAAGTCACCCTCTCTCAGCCTCAATTTCCTCATCTATAAAATAGAGACAGTAATAGTGAGGTATCACACAATTGTGAGAATTGGGTGGGATTGACATAAATAAAGTACTTTGTAAACCTAAAATGACAGATAAATGATACCCACAATTAGTAGAGCTGTTAATCAATTGCCAGCATTTATTAAGTGCCTTCTGTGTGTTAGTTTTGGTTTTTTTGTTTTGTTTTGTTTTGTTTTGTTTTGGAAGGGAGGGATAAGATATGCAAGTCCCTGATGAGCCAATCCAGGGTAACTGTAATGTAAACACACAAAGATTTGAGAGGTACTCACCCTGGGGAAAGATTTCTTGAATGAGATAGCGCTTGAACTGAGCCTTAGAAGGGGGTAGGGGTTCCCTGAAGGGAAAGTGAGGAGGGAGAGCACTCTATGCATGGGGGTACAGCTTGTGCAAAGCCAAGGAGGCTGGAGATGTGGGCCAGTTTAACTGGGAAGTAATGCGTAGTCCTGCCGGCTGAAGATAGGCTGGTGTTGGGTTGTAAAGGGTTGGACTTGTCCAATAAAGTTTATATTTTTAGCTTAAATCCAGTTGGGGAGCTACTTCTTGGAATGAGTCACATAATCAGAGCTGTCGTGTGAAGGGTGGGTTGAAGAGGGCGGAGACCAGTGCAGAGGTCATAAGTGGTCCAGGTGAGAGGTTGATTGTGTGAGTAGACCAGCTGCCAGAGACTTCAATGGAATGGGCTGGACAAGACTTCACCCCAGTGAATG